GTGCTGCCTGCTGTAACCCTAATTTCCTTCTGATTCTGATTTAATTGGCACACAATCTTCATCTTTTAGCTGCTCCTTTTGGGGTCACACAACCCATCAATACATCCATGAATCCTCTCTGTGGTCATCCTCTTTTCCTCCTGCCTGGCAGTTCCAGCTATCCACTATCTTCACTCTCCATCCTCTGCACATGTTCAAACCTTCTCAGCCTCGTCTCTCTGACTTTGTCTCCGGCCTGAGCTGTCCCTCTGAAAAATCGTAACATCTCCAGGTTGGCCTCCCCCACTTTGTCTCCAAGCCAAACATCACAGCAGGTCTCACCACCATCCTAAACCTTTCCATTCACTCTTGCTGCTATGATTCTGTCACAAATCACCCCTGAAACTCGTCTCCAGCCACACCACCTTGCCCGCACTCTCTTCTTCACCCATCTTGTGCACTGTTAGCTGCTTTGGATGGTTCTGTGCTCAATTTTCTTTTCTGACTTCCGCCTGCTCCCTTCTCTTACAACGTCATCTGCAAACATCATATTCTGCAGAGATTCCTGCCTGACCTCATCGTTTTGATATATAATCCGTTTCATTTGTCTGTTGTTAGGAATCTAAAGTTTGTGTGAAGGTAGGTACCAAAACAGCTCGAAGGGATTTAGTTTGGATGAAAATCGGGTCACGGTCACGGCAAATATGAAAATTAGTAACAACCTTTTATTACCCCACAGTTTTCTATTGATCAGTTCACAACAACATAGTAGGCTTTGGTGGACATGAGTACCCAGGTCGGCGAAACTTTTGACCTTGACCTTCATTGTAAAAACCTGAATCAAAGTTAACCTTGAAAAAAAAATCGATATCATATGAAAAGGGCATAACGAGAGCTGTACAAAACTATACAAAAACACCCCAGGGCATCACAATGATGCCATAATGTCACTGTATTGGATTAAAAAGATCATAGAACATCAAAGTTTAGTATAGCCCTTGCCCTTTGAGATTTGCGCTCTCTGAGTACGTTTGTGTTTGAGAATCTGCCACAACTAAAACACAGACTAAAGAGGGAATGGAAAACATTCCCCTCATAAAAGTCCAGCAGCCAGTCTCCTCCCTTCACATACAACATACAAAATAAATGCAATAAAGTAAAATAAGCATAACTTTTAATACAAAATTAGATAACAAAATTACATAACATAACAAAAATATAAATTTCAACAAAGCTATTGGTTTTGTTTTTTTAGTCTTTTGATATTTTGTTTTATTTTCCTAAACTACAAGAAACGATTTATTTAAACTATTATTTCTTCATTTTAATTAGATTTTTAATTACAATAATAAAATATTCCAGCTGATATGAATAAATAAATAAAGTATCTCTATCGTAAATATGGTAAAATAGTTCTCATTAAAGTTGAAACTGTAACGGTGTGGCTGATATTTAGCACATATTTTTAAGAGGCTTTAAGCCATCTTATTTTGAAAGGGCCGTGGCGGAAGTGTTGAGCTCAGGTTTTTTTTGGCGGATCTTTGGGAGCAAATGTCCACACGGTCTCTTTATTTACAGTGTTTAACGGAAAGAATAGCACGCAGCTGGCGTTTGGTTAAATTTTGCGACAGATAGGATTGTAATCTCGGTTTGTAATCTGTTATTTGGTCGTATTTTGGTGCGTTTATCCTTGTTTTAGCTAGCGCTGTTAGCCGATCGTTGGCCTGTCGCGCGTCGCGGTCAAAGGTAAGAGAACTGCGTAGCATTAGCTGCTAACCAGCGTTATCCTTGTTTAGTTTAGGAAACATGTGTGATGACATGCAGGACGCTGTTTTTGATGCTCTTTAAAGCAAAAAGCTCCTCATACGGAAACAGAGCTGTGGTTTGTGTAACATTAAAGAAGAAGGGGCGTTGTTCGATTTATCGGCGTGCCCCTTAAAGCACCGCTGACCCTGATGTTCCCGGTGATCAGTGAGTTAACTGTCTTAGTTTGTAGAAAATATTCAGGTTGGTGTCATGTGAGACCTGCAGGCATTTATCCAGTCTGAAAACCTACATTACAGATGGTTTGGATGAGTTATCGATTAATGCAGTGGATACTGGTTAACTTTATTTTTGATGGGAGTAGTTAGTGCATGATTATAATATTTATGATGGGAGCCCTACTGATGTTAACTTAAGCTTGTTTAGCTTATGCAGAGTAACGTTAAAAGATTCTTATTTTTATATAGCTGTGGCAGCAGTTAGACTTTTAATAACTTTGTCAAATCTATTTTGCTGAGCTAGTGTTTCCTGAGTTACACGATTTTAAAATAGTTTGGCTCATATTTGTATATTAGAAACAGAGTATACATACTATGGTGGAAAGTGTCAGGTGTCGGCCCACCTCTGTCCAGTTGTTCTACACCAGTGCGATGTTGTTGTAAGCGTATGTGTCCAATATTTTAATAACCACGTTTCTTTGAACTTTTTGAAATCATGCCTGCAGTGAAGTTTAAGCCCTGTTCAAGCTTTCTTGCAGAAACGAATGTTGAAAGGCTGAGTTTTGTCCTCTGCACCTGCTGCAGAGTTGACTGTAAAATTGGGTGTTGTCCCGGCACTCTTGATGTTGTAATAAAATGCTGTTCTTTCCTTTAAGGTTGACAAAATGTCAATACCACGGTCTCGATCACCACATTACAGGTAAATACGCTGCACTAACTGTGCTTTTATTATACAGCCATTCTAGCGTGTGACTGTAGTGTTTGGTTACTTGGGGAATATTTTATACCGTCTGGTGTTCCCATGGGGTCATTTTTAGGACCACTGCTGTTTAACTTGAGAGGCACAGTTATGTTTACCTGTCTCCACCCCTGTGTACGCACAAGACAAACTGATGCGATCACTGGTGCTGAAGATGAGAGTCTGGAAATTTCAGTTGCTGACCTTATTTTTCAAAATCGGCTCTAACTGTGCTGTTGTTCTGTTTTCTATCATCTAAAAGTATTGAAAAAGTTTGGAGCTTTCTGTTGCATAAGGTCGATGGAAATCTGGCCTGTACTTTTTTTTTCCCCACTTGACTGTGTGGAGATACAGAAATCATTTTACTGCTACAGTATATCCTTTATCATTAACATTGCATTAAACTGTTTATTGAAGCTACTGGCATCATATTAATGAAGGTGCGTTAACCCTGACATTAAAAAAAGTAGTCTCAAGCGTATTCTTAGAGGCAGATCTATGCTGATGTGTTGCAGTGTACATCTTCCCAGGCGTGTGCTCAATAAATCATCGTTTGACTGAATTCTTCTGGGCCAGTGTTGGTTTTGTTCCTTGCCTCAATATTTCAAATCGGGACAACTGTAATGCTCTGTTCACGGGAACATTGCAAAGTACCGTAACCAACTTTATCTGGCATAGTTTTTAGCAAAAAGAAATCTGACCATGTCACAGTTGCACTGAGGTCATTATTTTGGCTTCCAATTAGCCTTAAAGTTGGTTTTAAAATTTGAAAAGTTGATTTTAATGTCCTGTATGGTGTGAAACCTTAATATTTCTCAGACAGTTTTATATTTTATAGTTTAAATAGTTCTGACACGCTATCATCTGTTATTGGGTGTACTCCAACACAGCTCAACTCACAAGTGTTCAATTTCTACTAATTGTATTGATTTTAAGTTACTGTGCTTGTCATTTTTACTGGTATATTGTTTTTCATTACATCATTACATTTTTAGAAATGAATCAGATTTTTTAAAACTGGTAATTGCAGTCCTTATTGTTTTGAATATACAGTGGAACCCCGACTTATGAAATTAATTTGTTCCAGAGGGTCTTTCGTAAGTCAAAATTTCCATCGCCTTTTGAGTGAGGCGATGCTGGCTGAAGATGAAGTTCTTGGTGGAGGAGGAGGTGGCGGCGGAGGTTGAAGAAAGCATATGTATGCATACATACGTATGTGTACATGTACATAACATTATGGGATTTAATTTAAAAAAAATTTAATTTCTATTTCATCTATTTCGTTACGCGGGCATTTTGCCGTACCATGGGTCTTCGTAAGCCAGGGTTCCACTGTACTTATTTGCTTATTTTCTTACACTATCTTGCTAGTGTTCTAGATTGTACTTCCAAGTCAAGTTATGCTTCCCAAAAACTGATTTCAAATTATTTTCTAGATGCTGATGTATTAATTCCGGTGCTATCTGTTTCTAAAATGATATATATATATTTTTTTTCTATGTTCACTTTTTCAGGAGGTTGCCATTGGAGGAACCTGGCTTTGATCCACACAGACCAAGTGGAGATCTGGATGGGATTTCTATGGACAGAAGGGAACGCTTTCGGAAAGGTTCTGAAGAAATCAGGGAGAACTTCAGTGAAGACATGTATCCAGAAGGGCAGAGGAGAGCCCCTCCATTCACAGATGACCATCGATTTGAACGTCAGCCTTACAAAGATCGGGAGGAGTTTCACCACAGGAGGTTATCACCCCGCCATGATGTACGCTATGAAGAATGGAGGTTTCCCCCAGTGAGAGATGGAGGATTTGATGGAGATAAGAGAAGAGAAGGCTTTAGAGAGGAATTCCAGAATTTTGAACACAGGAGTCGGTCGCCGCCGAAGTTCACGAGGGAAAGGTTGCCACCGACACCGAGGTCTAATTCAGACCAGAGGGATTCGGGGATGGGCTGGAAGAGAGAGGAGCAGGTCAGGGATCGGTGGAGGTTCACAGACCTCAGTCCCAGTTTGAGGTCTGACGACCAAAGAGTTGGAGGAGATGGGGAAAGAGGGAGGAGATTCACTCAAGGTCCTAATAGAGGCAGACAAAGGGAAAACCCACATCATGAGAGGGGCCTCCCTTTTAAAAGACAACGAAGAGAAATGGATGACGTCAATCATCCTGGGTAAATTTTAAGCAAAATGCTTTGCAGCACTATTGGGAAATGAAGAACGTAGAAGATTCCTATCTTCTAATTTTCTGTAGCGCAAATTTCCTCACTGTTCATCTTCATGCCTTAATTTCACTAATGCACTACTCTAGTGTTAAATATTGCATGGCTTATAGTTTCTTACCTTCTTTCTGAGAAATGTAAAGTTCTTTTTGTCTTATTTTGACCTCTTTTCATTATTTGTGTTATCAGTGATAATACATTAATGATTACATATTGATTCATTTAGGTTTGATTATTTCCAGTCTGAATTTAAAAGTGAAGATGTTGAACCGCCTCCTCTTATGCCACCACAGGTCCAGGAATGAGAAGGACTTTGGGGAAAAGGGTTACTCAATGGAAGGAAGCAGACATGAGTTTGGTGAAGACACTCGGGGAAACCTCCCCCACGGAGACGGTCGGTACTCGGGGCCACTTGTCATTGAACACGATCATGGCATCCGAGACAATAGAAAGCTGCCACGATGGGAAAGGTTTGATGACCACAGGGATCTCAAGCCTGAGTTTGATCGACAGAGGAAGCCCCGTCCAGGGGGCTCCTCTGAGGAGCTTTTTAGGAAGACGGGAACCAGGTTGGATGATCAGGAAGATCCACGAGAACACCGTTATCAAGGTAATTCGGGGGAATCAAACTATTATGAAACTAGGAGAAGCCCTGTGCTTCAGGACAGGTCAAATGCAGCAAGATATGGTGTTCAAGGTGGCCCCATGAATCACAGGGGGAGAGGTGCCACTCAACCAGCAAGAAGGAGGTACAACCCAAATCAAAGCGGACGGCCAGGACAACCAAGAAATCACCCACGCTTACAGCAGGCCTCCCAGGGATACCAAGATCTTCCTCGCGAAGAGCAGAGACAAGGGTTCCACCCCGTTAGGGAAGATTATGACGACGACACTGAAGATGAGCCCAACTGGGCAGAAAAAGACAAACTTCAACAGTGGGACCAGGAAAGGCCTAGAAGTCTGGAACGGCCCCCAGGGAGGGATTTGGACCCTAAAATGCCCCATTTGAGGCAGCAGGGATGGAGCAATCAGAAAGCCAACAATATGACGGTTTTAACAGAGGAAACGCTAACCATCAAGGTGGACATGAGTCGGCCAATAAACCAGAACAGGTAGAGTATTTTCTTTATCTTATCAAGGGTGAGGGGTGAAAGTTCACACTTTCTTTTTCTTGTTTTTTTGAGGAGGAAAAAAACCTATGAAGCTGCCACATGGAGTTTGAAGACTGGCATTGAAAAAAGCACAAATAATTGCACGTCATCTGATATTAAAATTGATTTCGGATGAAATTGATTTGAATACTGGCAGATTCAGAACCAGTACTGGAAATGTGTTCCCTTATGGGGAATTAAAGGGACCTACCCAATCATATGTGCCGTTACCTCATACGGCTGGGATGCTTCATAGAAGTTTCTCCAAGGAGTCCATGTTCATTTAAAGTGGAAGTCACTCTCATGAATACTTGTGGACTGCAGGACACCTCAAGGAAAACAAAAGGAACTTCCAACTCCATGATGTTAGTCCCGAACCGAATATGGCCTTTATTTTAGGAAGCATGGTGCTGATGCGGAGTCTTCATTTGTGCTTTTCAGAATTCACCTGGAAGAAAATTTGCAACAAACTTGTTTCATTGAATTCAAGTTCCAGTCGCACAAATAAAGGAGTCAATTTTGCACTTGATTTATTTTTTTTTAATGCGTTGAGTTAAATTGTGTAGATGAATCCAAAGGACCTGTTATTTGGTAATGAAGATGACTGAATCCTAATTTATCCCTTTTGAGGATGGAAAGGTGCAATTTCTACCTCCAACTCTGGATGATGTTTGATTTGAAACTGCTTTAAGAGGCATATTTACCTTACATCTACAACATTGTTGGTTTTTACTGATTGATGGACTTTGAAAGCTGAATGTGGGATACAAGACACAGTACTGACAGGATTCGATCAGCAGATGCAACTCTTGTGGGCGCTGGCAATCACACATGTTTTTCAGGAGGATCTCAGACCGTCTGAGTCTAAAGAAGAGTTTGCTACTGAAACCTACATTGAACCATGTTTTCTAAAATCAAAAAAAGAGTGATGTGCACCCTCCAAACACCACCTCTCACTCCGTCATCACTTGGTAATATGGTGTCTTCGGTGTGCTGATAACATAAAGAGAGTTTTTGCTTCTGCTTTCTTTTGGAGCTGCTTGGAAATGAAAAATGATCCTCAGTGAATTTAGGATTTGCCTCGTATGTGCATTTAAGGACACAGTCAGTGACATCTGGAGTAATGCTGTTGCTACTGGAAGAGGAAATATCTATTCTTTCTCTTGTTTTGAAAGGGAAGTTGAGCAAAGCTGGCAGTAACTGATGGTACTACTAAAAATAAACATGGAAACTCTGATATGCACTGTGATAAACCACACACCTTGTTGTCTAAATGCCAGAGAGGAAGTTCACTACAGCAAGCAAAAGAAGAAGATGATGATCTGAAGGCTCTGCCATGGAGAAAATGTTGGGAAGCCATGAAATGAGACATTTTGCAGGAAGATGAGAAGACTTGGCAGGCATTGTTGGGCCACATACCAGAGATGACATTTAGAAATCAATGAGGAACCTGTGTGCACCAATCAGTTATGGGAAGAAGGAGAGACAGTGAATGGAGTCCTGCTCAGAAAGCGCATGCCGTGAGTGAGTTTTGGCCATTTCATGTTTGTGCGTATACAATCTTATTGGAAAGCGTGCCGAGGTTCCAGATGCAAGGAATCGTCCAAGTAAAGGCAGGCACAAGCAAGTCCGTGTTTTGTGCAGCGAGCCACTGGAGTCTGATGGATCATGAAAAGAGTTCAACTTCACGGCCTAAACATTAGTTACAGGCTTTTTGAGGAGGAGACTAATGACGTGAATATCATCAACCAGCTAAAATAAAGGATTCATCATCATCATCATCATCATCACAGAAGATAACTGGGGAAAATGCACCCTCATTAACGCTTTGAAAAGATGGCGACGAAGCTATAAACCTGAATAAATTAGGAGCTGGAGCATTTCAAAGCAGCAAACATAAAAGGATGATTTATTCTGAAGAAAACTGAAGTGAAATTGTCCTTAGTTTAAGAAGAGAAAATAAATCCAGGAACATAATCTTCAGTGGTGACAGCAGAGAATTATAGGCCTTGTCAATGGTTTCAGAAGAAGACACCAGTAATCACTATTGTTGAAAGGAAAAATGGACTCTATATACAGAAAGATCACTAATCTGGATAACTGGAAACCTTCAATCACATCTGTTACCAAGAGGTTAATCAGCATCGTCCTTCGACAGTGCTTTGAAAAGGAAGCTTCTAAAAGAAGTAATCGTCAGGAGGAGGATACGAATTTAAAGATTGTGTACAATCGGACATTTCTGTGTCGTTCCTCTTGAACCGTGACAGGACTGGAGAATCCAGCAGACAAGTGGATCAGATATCTGAACTAAGAGTCGAAGATTTCATACGAGAAAAGAAGTGTGAACTTTCGCCCCAAGCTTTAACTCACCTGCCAGTTATATAAAAATAAATAAAAAATAAAAAAAGCGTATATTGGGCTTCTCTGGCTTCTCCTTTAAGCCTTTTTAAATATCCATTAAAATGAATAAAATTGGTGTGATTCTCTGTGCGCTTAAGGGTGAAAACCTTCCTTTTTATTCAACCAAATAAGACTCTAGTTACTGTAAGCATTGTGATTTGTGGGACTCGTTAAAGGTAAGTTTACTGGGTAAGGTAACGACTTTTTTTACTTAAGTGTGATTGGTACAGAAAGGAGTGTACATTTAAGATCCATCTTTTAAAAAACACTGCATTAAGTAAGGATGTAAACACAGTGTAGAAACTAAATATTAAAATGGCATTAAAGCTAATTTTCAGTGACTTAAGCCATGCTAAACAAACGCCGATTCCTGGCCACAAGGATCATTTATCATGTGTTTATTCATTGTGTTGGTATCAATCTCCCTCTTTTCTTCCTCGTCCTGCAGCCCGCTGTGTTATTCCTCAGACAGGCAGCTCTCTTTAGATCTGGTCAATGTTGGTCGCCAGCGTCTGGACTTCCTGCCCATGCTGGAGCACTCCGGCACATATCAGGAGACCGCCATGCACACTGGGACGTTTGCCCAGGAGATTATCACACTCGTGCACCTTGTCAAAGGTTAGTACTGCATGTTGCACACAGGGCCTGCAGATATTTTCTGACAAAACAACAAAAACTAGGTCCAACAATGAGCGGCACAGTGTTTGTGGCAATAGATTTTGGTAGGTGAGGTTATTGCACTCCTTGTCTTCCTCCTAAAACTAGTTGGAGGCTACACAGCTTAGGCACCCACAGGTGGTCTTTGCGTTGCTCTGCAGCATCAGCCAGGTTAGGCTACCAGTACATGAAACAGCTCTCCATGTGGTTCAGGGTCTGGTTAAAGTAAACCGCCCAGCTCACGTCAGATCTCCGGAGCCGAACCAGTCTGACTCTGGGATGAAATGCGGCTCTACTGGGAGCTTACTTTGTCTTCTTAGACATTAGCAGGACTTGCTGGTTAGCAGCAACTAAACTTTCAAAATAAGAGTAACGGGATTCTGTTGTTCTTTAGGACAGAGTAAAATTACAAAAAAAAGGATAAAAAAAGAATAAAATCTAAATAAAAGGCACCGAGCAGCATTGATGTGCGTGTAATCATATAGAAGAAAGGTGAGCTAAGAAGTGCAAATAGTCATACAATTGGTGTGTTTTAAGTGTGTGTGGTCTGCATTTACAGAGCAGTATTTCAGAGGGGATGGGATCACCCTGAATCAGCGCTTCTCAGCTCCACAAGAAGGCAGCTTTTCTGAAGAAGAGATGGAGGAGCTGACGTCGGACGAGGGATTCGAGTCAAACCAGTAGGTGGACAGGCATAAAGTTTGTTTACCTGCCGAAGTAAAGTGATGGTGAAAGCAGTACATAAATTATAAGAAATATCTTCTTTTTTTTGTTTTTACAGACGCCCTAAAACTGACTCTAAAATCTTTTCTCTTGGCTTTCTCCTTCTTGTCTGCAGAGGTTTCAGTTTGGATATGAACTCGCTGCTCAGTGACGACAAGCCTCTGTTCTTCTCGAGACCAACACAGGTAAAAAAAAGAAAAGAGAAATAAAGAAATGCACTCGATACTAGAGACTATTGGGAGCTCTGGTTATGACTGATTCATTAATCCTTTTGGTAAATTGACCTCAGGGCGTGAGGCTGCAGCCCGTGCGAGGTCCGGGTGACCTGAGGCACGACCTGGAAAGGAGGCGACAGGAGAAACTGGAAGGGGTTAAAGTTACAATAGCTGGGAGCACTATGTCACAGCGCCCCCTGGGTGCATGCAGGTGGGTTTTAACCCAAGTCTTCTTATCAATCACTTGACAATGTTTCTGTAGATGCTGTTTTTGGCAGAATATGTTCATGTGCAATCGTCAGAAGGGCAATCTTTCTTAGATTAGGTGCAAGGAGGTAGTCCTTGTTACGTGGACCCTCCAGAGCACAAAGAGGACTCTGGTCACGAGCGTAGCAAGGAGTGAGATCATTACTGGAGAGCTGACTGGACATCATGATGTTAGTTGTTGGTTTTTGTCCTCTAGTCACATGATGGATGGCATGCGCATGTACTTTTTAGGTTGATTAAACATCTGTGCAGCAGGTCAAAGTACAGTCTGCTTATGGGGAAACATCCCTGCACCCCAAATTATGGCAAAAAACCAAAAATAAACGTGAAGTCAGTAAACAGTCCTTTGAGCTCCACGAATCAATAACTCATAAGATAATGTTGTAAAACCTTGGTCCAAGCTCCACCAGTAGCTCTGATTTCACGCTGCAGCCCACTGCACTGAGTTTCTGTTGTTTACACATTTTTATTAGCATTATTTATTAGCCTGTAGGAGCATAAAAATGGTCCTTTTTTAACAAAGAGTCAAATGGATTTGTTTAGCTTGGAGCTGAATGTCTTTTGGAGTCACTCGAAGAACTCTTCAAAATAAAATGACCTCAGTTTGTCACAAACAGCATGAGACAAAGAAAACATGTGAAGAAGTCAAACAGGAAGTGAGCTCCCAGTGAGCCAGGCTTTATTTATTACCGTATTTTCACGACCATAAGGCGCACTTAAAAGTCTTAGATTTTCTTCAAAAAGTGCGGCGCGCCCTATAGCGCGGTGCGCCCTATGTGTTGTAAGGAGGACGTAGTAGAGAACACCATGAGAACGTTAAAGGGTGAAGTGTGGGCGTTGATCGTATATACCGGGACAATCGCACATACCCATATAAAAGAACAGGTATGTGCATTATGTGGAACATCGTTGTTTTAACAACCCTGAAAATGGCAAAGAGACACGCTTATGAAGCACAGTTTAAACTGAAGGCCATCAGCTACGCGGAGGAACATGGAAATCGAGCAGCGGCGAGAGAATTTAAGATTAACGAATCGATGG